TTATTTTTATTTTATTTTTAAACACTCACATTTGCATGTTTGGCAGCCTGTAATTGAATCTGCACTTAGCTTAAATATTAGGTTAAGAATTTAATGTTTTTGGTGTAAGATTTGTTGGCTGTCCTTAATAAATAAATAAAAAATAAAAATAAATTCTTATCTATAAGGTGTGTCATATTGTCTATCCAATTTGTACTTTCTCTAAGCTCATCCTATGCTTTCCTGAGTCCTCCAAATTTTCCTATATAATAATTTCTTGTATTGTTCCTTCCTTTCTCACTATGTTTACTGATCTACAGATTTATTTCTATACTTAGTATTTCTACCTTCTTTTTGTTGTTTTCCTGACTTCGTCTTGCTTCTGGACCTATTTTGTCTTTAATATCGTAATTTATACTAGTCATGTTTTTGACATACTCCATTTTGTCATACTTAAACGGTAAACCTTTAATCAATAAAATCACAATTAAAACATTATGCCGGATGGTCACAGAATTACAGACTTTAAAGATTTATATTAACAGCAACCTTTTGGTCATTTTCAAAACTTACAAAATTGCATGTTGCATCTTTTTGATACACAGCCCCAATATATTAAGGAAACCTACTTGCTATTAGATTGTCTTTTTTATGATATTCCCTTATTACACACGTCACATTTTTGTAAAATAAGATTTTTTTAATCATCAAAGTCCACTGCTGAACCTAGAACTCTCAAGGAGTGCTTTTTGAGTGAACCATAGTAAATGCTTGTAAATGTATTTTAATTCGTTTTTTTTATAGTATTGTTTAACAAACGAGCAAACATTTTAAATGATGGTAAGTTGGTGTTTTTGTCCATAGACATTTATCCTCAATTAAGAATCAAAATGCAAATGCGTTGTCACCCTGAGAACTAAAATGGAATGCTTCGATACCACTAAAAAGGGTTTTAAGCAATGAAAAAATCAACATTTTCTTAAAGTGACAAACCATCCAACGATATAATTGTCAACCGGAATCTAAGATCACTACAAGTGCGTTATGAGTTTTGAGGATTTTTATAATTTGCCTGACAGCGTATACTATAGTATAGTATACCTCACAGCCTGTAACAATACCGGCTTAGCATTAGTTCAAACGGGAATAAAGCAGTAGATGCTTCTTGGCAGCAGAAATACATAAAAGGGTGATTGGCAGGACTCTTTCTGCCCATAAGTCAATTTGGGTAAGATAACCCAATAAATAACATTTTATATAGTGTTTTTATATCGAAATATAACACTTTTGGGGACTATCATTTTTAAGTTTTGTGATAAACAAATATTTTAACTAAAACATTTCGTCTCAAAAATGTAGTTCAAGTCTTTCTTACTTTTATGATTGATATTTTATGTAAACCAAAATTTATTCCTCTAATAAACTGTAATAATTTAAGTGTTGCTGATCAATCAAAGTCCCTTCATTAATTCTTTAGGAAATTCCTGAAATCAGACATCATGCAAAAGTAAAAAAACTGGGCACAGGTCTCTACTTATTTCTGAAAAAAATTGAGCAGTATAAAGTCCACGACGCTACTTTATCGTATTGGTAGACTTACTCGTAACATGGATTCGAAATAATTTATTCGTTAGTGTAACAGATTTCCTGACGATGTTCTTCTTTAGTGTCGAACGCGCGTAAATAGCAACTAAACATGTGATTTAAGCCTCTAAGGAAATATAGTAAAGGAACGCAGCGCAGCACATCGATTCAGAGTAGGACTCTTTGTAAGATGCTGTAGTAAGAGGCGACTATAAGAAATAACACAATCTTATGACTTTCGATAGATGGCGCTATAACCATATCGCTTACACCAGACCCAGCGAAGGACAGTAGCGTCAAGCAAGGGTACGAAATATTACGAAATATTGGTATTGGTACTGGTGGTAATTAACAATTACTGCGATCGTGAACTCAATCGAGTTCTGTAATTCATGACTGTTTTGTCCAGCATGCCGATTAAGGTAAATTCTTTGTTGACTTTTAAAGGCTAATGATGTAGATAAAGTAGAGTCAAATTTAGTCCAGTAGGAGCATTATATAGGGTGCTTATAATGAGCAATAGCTAAATAAAAATATTTAAATATAAACAAAATCATTTGCCTATGCCTTTTAATTTTTATCGATAATTTAACTATAAAAGTTAAATTTACAGCCTATATACGTCCCACTCCTGGGCACAGGCCTACCCTCATTTCTGAGAGGGTTTTAAGGCAAGGAATTGTCCACCGCGCTGCCCCAAAGCGTGTTGGCGAACTTCACATGTCTTCGAAATATTTTTTTCTTATTTCTCAGACATGCAGGTTTCCTGCTACGATGTCTTGCTTCACCGCTGAGCACGTGGTAAATCAGCACTTAAAATTGCAATTACAATTTCATTGGTGCCGGCGGGGATCGAACCCGGTTTGCTCGCGCACTGTGAAATTTACAGCGAGCGCTAACCATCTGAGCTACCACGGATCCTTTTAGTTTAACTTTTAATGTATAAAATTAAATACATACTTCTACATAACTTTATATTCTTAATAAAAGTAACATAACGAAATATGAACATAATGGATTTTACGTGATAATATCAACAAACATGATGCCGGTTATTGTACGTAGTAGTGCCACGCCGTAGCTGTTTTATGAATGTAGCACGAATGGATTGGCTTGACCGGGATGGGAACACGCTCTCACATAATACTAACGTCAAATACCAGCTTAATGCTGATGTATTTCGTATAGTGAGTGTAGAGAACCGGATACCTTCACCACATCTGCATTTAGATACTTAGACGAGGATAAATAAAACATAAACACTCACGCCTGTTACCCAGAGTGGTAGGCAGATACTACAGACTTCCATTTGGCACCATCCTGACACACCTCTCTCGACTCCTTCACATTAATATACCTATGCATACATGCTCGTCGGTTAAGGGTACTCCTAATTTGGCCCGTTTTCAATAAATCGATAAATTTTGTCGATAAATTTTCGCCTAGTACGTCCCTTTCCGACTCTGCCATTCATTTCTGCAACATAGATTTTCTTTGTCACTCTTTCCTCATTCATTCTTTCCACATGACCAAACCACCGAAGCATTACTTTCTTAATCCTGGTCACAACATTATCTTGCAAACCACACTCTTCTCTTATCACACAATTTCTCAGCCTGTCATTCAGATTCAGCCCTAACATATATTCCTTAACGACCGCATTTCTACTGCGTTCATTCTACTTTCGTGCTTCTTCTGCCACACTCAACTTTCACTACCATACATTAAAGTAGGGACCGCACGCATTTTGACTCTTCACAATATAGTGTAGAGCCCCATTTACTCTATTTCCTGCATTCACTCGTCGTTCTATATCGTTATCATATCTCCCACCCCTGCTAAATACGCAACCCGAATATATAAACCCATCTACTTGCTCGATCTCCCCTTCTATTCTTATTTCACATACCGTTTTACTTTCTTCTCTTTCAAAAACCATAACTTTCGTCTTACTTGCGTTCACTTTCATACCCCTTTCTTTTAATGATACACGAGGGTAAAAGTAGATAATAGATTTTTACGGACCCCCAGCATCTAGTACCATCGGGTGACTGTGAGTTTGTGTCTTTTTGTCTTACTCTATAAAAAATGGAATTATCAGTATACAATTCTAAAAAAATGTTCTAAACCGGATACTATAGGAAAAACCTTTTTTCTGCGTTAATTGGAAAATTTTCCCAGTAGGTATAAGGAAATAACAGCGTTGCGTAATATTCATCTGGCGAAATAATTACCATAAACGGATTGCTGATTTAGCTTATGATTAATGAAACTTTATTATTTCCTTTGTGCAACTAACACGTAATAACGATGACGATGTCTGGTACACAATAAACATTTACTTATTGAATAAAACAATTTTTCAATATTTGAACGCATTTAATTTGATTTAATTTTAATTTTTGACATTTCGAGTGCTTGGCAGTACTTACGGACACGGGGAAGCTTTGGACACGGGGAGGACTATTTTAAGCCCTGTAGTCATATTTTATTTTTAATTGTTAATTTTGGTCCTTGAAAGTTACAACCCATGGAGGTCTCACTGATGGTTATAGGTTTCCTCTCATTTCTGAGAGAGTTTTTTGGGCAAAGAAATATCCACCACTCTGCACCGTCATACGTTGGCGGTCTTCTCACATGTCTTCGGAATAAATACTTTCTCAGACTTACAGGTTTCCTCACGATGTTTCCTACGCTGACGAAAACATGGTAAATCAGCACTTGTTGCAATTAACAATATATTTGTGCCAGCAGGGATCGTACTGGCGTTGCTCGCTTATTGTAAATTTACAGCGAATGCTTATTCCCTGTGCCAGCAAGGATCTAATAATACAACTTAATGTTTACCCGTATACCCGTGTACCCGTATATGTGTAGTATTCTTTTAAATATAAGAAATTGAAACGTTTGTTTTTTATTCCGAAGTCTTTAGTAATCTGCAACAAAATATTTCCTACAAACTGGTTTCAAAATACATTTTGAGTAAGCTTACGCACGTCGTTGTGTACAAATAAAACCCAATGTCGTTATCCCTGACAGAATAAAATTTAAAAGACGTTATTGCTACTCAACTAGTTATAATGTACCCAAACATACCAAGGCGGGTATCCGGTTTAAGGGAATAACTATAATTATATGTATTTATACTCGTACGTGAGCGGACTTCGCAAATTGGCCGGTGTTTAGTGTGTACCATCACACTAATAACATTGCAAAGTTTTTGTAATCCACAAACAATAACTCGATAAATTAGTATCTTAAGCTCATACGCTGAAATACGACGGAAAGAAGTTTTTGTAACGTCATTGTGAGAAGAAGACGTTCCTACAAAATATCTGCGACAGACTGAACTAGCCGTCAATGTTTGACGTTTTATGGCGTCGGAAAAGCCGAAGTATAAATAGGTTTGCACGGTGTATCCTGCGCCAGTGATCACGATGGGAGTTAGTGGTGTAGTGTTGAGCGTGCTAGCGCTAGCTGGCCTAGGCTGTGCTACGATTGGTGACAATTCTCTCGATCCCGGGGAGCGGGTGGTGCTTGTGGCACCAGTTTTAGCACCCCCAAAGGACTCAAAGACGCACGCTAATGATCGAGCGAGACAGTTTCCGATTTTAGTGCTCCTCGCTCCTCAGAATCCATCAGCGAATGTGCGTGAACCCTCTGCAAAGTCATTGGGAATCAACCCTCAACCAATTTATGTACAGGTAATTTGATCGTTCACTGTAAAGATCTGTTTCTACATTTAAATTTGGTGGAATTGTGTATTAATTCCACTAAATGATTATAATTTTTATTTACGTAATAAAATAAATTTAGGATTATTAATGTATATAAAATAAATTTATAGGTGGAAATAAGTTTTAAATAAGGAGCATATTTCCTTGATAATGTATAGTTTAATATCGATTCTAATACACTAATAAACGTGCAACATAACGCTCGTGAATAAAGGTTTTTTATTTGTATGTAGAAAGAAGTTCGGCGTGCTTTTATTAACAAATTCATTTCAGATAAACGTATCTCTAGTAAAAACATTAGAAGGCATAAAATTCGTGCTCGGGCAAAGAAATGGAGTTTTCTCTCGGTGCCAATTACTGTCACTGAGTTTTATGATAAACAAGTTTACATTCGGAGTTTTGGCGGAAACTTAACCGCATGCGGATTGTTGCACTTGTAATATTGTTTGAATAACGGTTTGAAGTGGGTTTTAATAGGTAAAATATATGCGGTTTTGTGTAATAAATATCTGCATATATGAACAATTAGGACAAACGATGAAACACGTGCTCTGGTGGTAACGTGAAACTCAAGTTATTGTGTCTGCTAAGGCACCTTGAGATAGTATCGCCATCGACTGTCTGCTGGTTGTCAAGCTGTCGTCAAAATCTCGCAAACATATTATTATGAAATTTTAAATGAATTATTTGAAAGGATTACTTTGTAATACTTGACACCGGTAAAAGTATAACTGAAAAGGAGAAAGCCGATCTTCTAGGCTCTTTCTTTGCGTCTAACTCGACTCTCGATGACGGGGGGAGTACGCCGCCGACCATCCCGCGGTGTGAGTGCTCCATGCCGGAAGTGCAGTTCACTCAGCGCTCGGTTCGCAAAGCACTCCTCTCCCTGGACATCCACAAGTCGAGTGGGCCTGACGGAATCCCCCCAATTGTGCTGAGGACGTGTGCTCCAGAGTTGGCACCGGTTTTAACGCGTTTTTTCCGGTACTCCTACTCCCTAGGCGTAGTCCCAAAATCATGGAAGACGGCTTTCGTCCACCCGATCCCTAAAAAAGGCGACCGCTCAGACCCGTCCAACTACCGGCCTATCGCCATCACCTCCTTGTTCTCCAAAACAATGGAGTCCATTGTAAACTGCCAGCTCATGAGGTACCTTGAGGATCACCAGCTGATTAGTGACCGCCAATACGGTTTTCGCCGTGGTAGGTCAGCTGGTGATCTTCTGGTCTACCTAACTCACAGATGGGCGGAGGCAGTAGAGTCCAAGGGGGAGGCATTGGCCGTTAGTTTGGACATTGCGAAGGCCTTCGATCGGGTTTGGCACAAAGCGCTTCTTTCGAAGCTCCCTTCCTATGGGCTTCCCGAGAAATTGTGCGATTGGATCACCAGTTTTCTTGCAGATCGGAGCATCAAGGTCGTTGTAGACGGTGCAAGCTCCGATTGCAAGCCTATTAATGCTGGTGTTCCACAGGGCTGCGTGCTATCGCCAACGCTGTTTCTTCTGCATATCAATGATATGTTGCAGACCCGTAACATTCATTGCTATGCAGATGACAGCACTGGTGATGCTCTTTACACCGGCCGAGCCAATATTTCTCGGGAAAACGTCTCCGAGTGCCGGGACAAACTTGTGTCTGAAGTCGAGTCTCTGCTGGACAGAGTCTCGGATTGGGGGCGACTAAATCTAGTCCAGTTTAACCCCCAGAAGACACAAGTTTGCGCGTTAACCGCTAAAAAGAACCCCTTTGTCGTATCCCCTCAGTTTCAAGGCACTCCCCTTGTTGCCTCAGCCAGTATCGGAATCCTCGGCGTCGACATATCGAGTGACGTGCAGTTTCGTGGTCACTTGGAAGGGAAGGCCAAATTGGCCTCTAAAAAGCTTGGCGTGCTCAGCAGAGCGGGACAGTATTTCATGCCGGCACACCGCCTGCAACTTTACAAGGCGCAGGTTCGGCCGCACATGGAATACTGTTCCCATCTCTGGGCTGGGGCTCCCCAGTACCAGCTCCTTCCACTTGACCACATCCAGCGCAGAGCGGCTCGAATCGTCGACGACCGAGTGCTTTCCGATCGGCTCGATTCTCTGGCACTGCGAAGAGATGTTGCATCCCTTTGCATTTTCTTTCGCATATACCATGGAGAGTGCTCTGAGGAATTGTTCGGATTAATCCCAGCCGCCATATTTCGTGAACGCACTACGCGGCAAACGTCCCGATACCATCCACACCATCTGGATGCTTGGCGGTCCACCACTGTACGTTTCAAAAGGAGTTTTCTTCCGCGTACAACCTCTCTGTGGAATAATTTACCACCAGCGATTTTTCCGGACCGATACGACCTGGGGACCTTCAAGAAAAGAGCTTACTCCTTTCTAAAGGGCCGGCAACGCGTCTGCAATTCCCCTGGTGTTGCAGTTGATCATGGGCGGCGGTAGTCACTTAACATCAGGTGAGCCACATGCTCGTTTGCCCCCTCTTCTATAAAAAAAAAAAAAAAAAAAAACTGAAGTTTAGTAATACACTCGCATTACTACAGAAACAAAGCTTACTTACTTTTTACCCCCTTAGAAGAACACAGATACAGTTCTAATTTCAGAAAGCTTCAGTGGTTTTAGCTGAAGCGTGCTGTAATTAGATTAGATTAGATAATAAATTAGCCAATTAGAATATTTTACTTTTTATATACATAATAAAAAATACACAACTTAAACAATTATCGTTTTAAACAGAAACTAGAAGACCAAGATAATTATAAACCAGTACACCAAAACAGACAGAAGAGGCATCTTTTAAAGCATGCCCTCTTCGGTCTAGGCGGTGGCGGGTTTTCACTTGGTGGAGGCTTTGGTTATGGAGGTGGATATGGAGGCGGGTATGAAGGTGGACATCATGACCGATCTAAGACAATCTACATAGTGAAAGAGTATGGTAAGAAATTATTATAATAATTATTCGACCTGTAGATGTATATGTAGCAGCCAACAAGCTTAATTAGCCTTTCGGCTAACAGCCTAGGCTTTTTACTAAACGCTGTTGTTCAACTAGCGGGCTAAAAGCCTAGTTAGCTGCGACATATATATGTGTAAAAAATAACATATATATGTGTAAAAAAATGCAATCCGGGTGGGGTGCTTTTGGGTATTTGATTCTGTTCCTGTAAGACACGCTTAAAGATATTATAGACAACAACCGTGTTGCCAGATTTAAAGTTGCTGAATTTAATAAAACTAATTTTCCAGATTTATCGGATTTAATTACTATGTGCCTCTTAACGGATCCAACAGGGTGACATTACATAGAACAAGCTCTGTGCTCATTTATTTGAACACTCAATATTTTGTTGTGATCATTATAATGACTGGAAATTAAATTTACAGGACATGGTTATGGTGGTAATTACGGTGGTAATTACGGTGGCAACGGCGGCCATTACGGTAGCTACGGAAACGGAGGATACGGCTCCGGGAATGGCGGTGGTTACGGCGGAGGATATGGCGGCGGCTTCGGGGGTGGCTATGGAGGAGGCGGCGGCGGTGGTGGCGGCGGTGGCGGCGGCGGTGGTGGTGGAGGAGGTTATGGAGGTGGTTATGGCGGTAACAACGGTGGCTATGGAGGCCATGGCGGCTACGGCTCGCCTGGACAATCTGGCAGTGGCTGCGGCGGCGGTTGTGGCGGCAACTATGGGCACAATGGCGGCGGTGCTACGGCATCAGCGACGGCCACCGCAACGGCGCATGCTTACTCGGATGGGTGAGTAGCTCAATAAACAAGATACGAAGATAAACACAACAATTATACGTAAACAATAAAAAACAGATTACAGAACTATAAATTACTGTTTGCAATCTTACGGAAATAGATTTACTTATATTACTTATAAACAACAGCGGTTGACGCAATATTGTTAAAACGTAGTAGTTACAATAAGTATCTTTGATTTTTCATTACTTCTTTCATTTGTTTTCTTAGCCTAGAGATACCATCTACCAACACTTTATGCCTTTTAACGTCGATAATTCTTCAATCGCCGTTGAAACATATTACGCAATTAATGCAGTACCTGGGTGGGTGAAGGATTAGCGAATATTTCCCATCCTAGTTCGATGTACTTTTAGTTGCATTGACTTTGAAATATTCGGCCATAAATTACCCTGACGTTATTTTACGCCTTTTTTCATCAAAAAAGATCACTGATTTTTATTGGTTATTTGAATTTACCTATTTGCCAGTGGTAATATTTTCTTGTGACGGTAGTAAATAAGATTATAAGGGACATCATAGGGTGGGGATATTTGTTAATTTTTTTTATTTTTGGCCATGACGATGCTGCCTATCTTCTGATTTGTTTCGCTTTGTCGCTTTTTACGACACCCACGGAATGGTATGCGGTAATGAACATTCTTCCGATCTACACAGTAACAAAAGTTAAATTTTAATCTATGGTAACCGCGGTTAACTATGACATCTGAACGTTGAACATCTCAGTCCCGCCCGTGACCATGAGTGCTGCAAAGCGTTCGAAACGTCGGGTATAAAAAAGTAAAAAATACGCGACAAATTCCGTAAAAACTAGTATTATTTCAATGTGTAGTGTTCACGTAAATATAAGAAAAGGATTAGTTTACTCCAGCGCAAGTTAATTTATAAAATTAAATCTTTTTATTTGCTCTCATCCTTTAGCCGTTAGAACCTATGAAAAGTCCACATATAGAGGCCTCCATATAGATAGCCACATACAGCAGTGTTTTTGCCTGTAATTTTTGTCCAATGTTTTATCACGCTGTCGGATAATTATTATTATATAACAGGACAAAATTGAACCTGCTTTACTGTAAAAATTTGAGACTCGCGTTACTCATATCACGTTTCTAAAAATTATACTTTTATAACCGTTTGTGTAGTGGCGCCTACCGAGTAGAGACAGTGTTAGAATATCCATGATCTCATATCGTCCCGTTAAGACACACTTAAGAGGCGACAGAGATGACTGAAACAGTAGAAAAAAACTGCTGTTGCGAGCTAGCATGTTATGCGTGACATCTATGGGCAAAATACCCTCTATGAGGCAATCTATGGGAGATGCCTGTATTCAGCAGTAGACTTTTACAGGCTGCAGTAGAATGGATGGAAGGAATGGAACCGTTTGCTGCTTATTAGAATATATTAATGTACTTTTATAATCTTACGAAAATTTTAATTGATTTCGAAAGAAACCTATCTCATATTTTAACTAATATATTTATGTGTTATTTTTCAGGTACGGCAAACGCAAGCGCTAAAATTTGTAACGAAAATTTGCCAACCACGATACGAATACTTACTGAAATGATAGTAGACATTTTTCGTTTAGCTTTTGCTACGTTAAATGCGTGAAAATGAAACCTTCACTAACAGTATAATGCGTACTAAAAGGGCTCGTAAACCAGCCACAAAAATTACATCTTACTAAAACTATGGCTCAACAATATTGCGAGCGATAATTCTGCTGCAATTTTATTGTGCTAACTCTTAGCAGAATATGTTGTAATGGTTACTTCAACTGTATCACATTATTTGAAGCTATAGACTAAGCAACATTGCTCTGCATTGCACGATATAGACAGCAACTTGACGCCTATTCTGCAGCTAGAAATTGCTACGAAACAAGCCGTTACGAACGTTTACGAGCACTCTTAGGACTTTCTTTTAATTACCTCATTTGTGCAAATTTTACCCATAATTACCTCTTTATTCTACCAACTTTGTAGTGTTCCGTGCCAAATTCAGCAAAACAGGAGACTTATGAAATCTCCTCATTTGTTTATAAGACAAGTTTTTAAGCAAAATACCCCTATTAAAAACTCAAAATTGGTGGCACGGAGCCCTAGTTATGGTGGTGACTGGTAGTTATTGATAGTTATGGATAACATGCACTTTGCCAATTACTTTTTCATCGACAAAGTTTGCATTTCAACATAACGGTTATTTTATGCGATATTGTTTTTATATTTAGTATAATATATAACTGCCTTGTGACACGTAAATATACTCCACTTTTACTATACCTGACTAACAATGGAAAATATTTTTCAAACACGCCATACTTTTAAACATTGGTAATTTAATCAATCGAAAAATTTATTTGGTATTTCTACTGTGTAGAGTTTATGTCTTAATTTTTCATATTGATGTTGGATTACAAAACAAAATGCGATATGAACCTTTTACTACATTTCATTACGTTGTAAGTACTTAGATATAAGTAGTAGTAATATTTTATAAAAATATTTAAGTATAAACTCTACTACCAGTTAAAACGTACTGTGTATATTATTGATTCTGTGCAATGTTAGCTCGTAAGTAGTATAACGTGCTGGATGTATGAAGTTTTCTTTGTAATTGGATTTAATAAAAGAATAAATAATTTTTTTTTCACACGTCTTGCTTCATTTGATATAAAAAAAAAACAGATTATTATATTAAATTATCTTTATTCAATAAAGAAACGTTACAATATACAATATCTCTAACAAAAAAAAAACTTAAATTAAGTAGGCGGCAGGTATACTATGAACCTCGGTCTTCTTTTAGAGACTCTTCCACCTTTAGATAGGAAGTACTAAGATGGGTAGATTATTTTAGCTTCTCAATGTCGTCGTTTGTGTCAGTGCTGATAACAATGCCTCCATTTTTAGTTTTACGTAGGCCTCTTGTGTGCAATTTCAATTGTCCCGGGCATATAATTTTTTGGACAAGAGATTTTGTGTCTATGTGTCTTCACTAGCTTTTAATTTATTCTCCGAGCAACTTAATAAATAAATAAATATTTTTTATTTAATTTCCAATTACATATGTTTACATACAGGAACAAATATGATTACAATTAAGTAACGTAACAATAAGTCTAATAACATGTAATAATAAAAATAAAAATTATTTGTAGCTTAATAATTTTTAGAATATGGGTGACAAACTTGTACACCTCCTACCAATGGTATGTGAAGGCGTGGCCCATAGACACTTACTTTAACTCCAATTAAGAATCGTAATGTAGACACGCTGTCGCTCCTGAACACTCACCACAATAAACATAGCAGCATTAAGCTGCTATTTTACGTTGGTATTCTGTGAGAGCGGGATTCGACCTTTGTTATAAAAAAAAAATTCCTTTATTTCCAAAAGTCCTATTACAAAGATTTGTCGAGTTTTCCCTTTACGAGTAAGTAGTCATGGACACTTGTGTTGGGAATAACTCGCTACTTCCCTTACGGTTGGCTAAATAAGATAAACTAGGCAGCTATATTATATCTAAAAGGTTAGGATGGTTAACATTTTTTTAAACATTTAAATTTAACATTTTTGATTAAATTTAAATTTAAATTGCGGCTCTATTGGCGATGAACTATTTTCATGTAAGCATGTATGTTAGTATATAAATGTGCGTAAGTGAGTGTGTATATATGTTTGTGTGTGTCTGTCCATGTGTGTATGTGTATGTATATGTGCACGTGGTGTGTGAATGAGTATATGTATGTGTGTATACAAGCTCGTGTCTGTGTGTGAGTGTGCACGTGTGTTTGTGTTGGTTACCTGTATGCCCTACGGATAAGGTTCCTTGGGATCGGTACATCGAAAACTAATAAAGAACATTCGGAGCATTCGAATGTAACTAGATTAAAAGCGCACCCAAATGTTCGAATGGGTGCTCATTCGGTGAGTTTGTTTTTTGTCACGGATTGTGTATCTAGTTTTTATAAGTGATCGATGGATCGGTATGAATATTCCGCATACAGGAACTAACATTAATTGAACCAAAATTTTTTTGTTAAGCCCCATTCTTGCTACAACCACAATATAGTTGCAGCGTGGTGTCGTCGAAGTCGAACGAATTGAAGTCGCTTACGCCAATCTTAAAATACCCAGACCAGCGACCATGAACAGCGTCAAAGATACATGACAAAAATTAATTTTGTCACTAATCCGTTTGCTAAGCGTGGCGATTATACCAGATTATCTCCACCGCCAATAAAAGTTTTTTTTATATATAGAATAAGGGTGACAAATGAGCACACAGTCCACCTGATGGTGATTGGATGCTGTGGTCCATAGACATCTACATTTACCCTCGATTAATAATAAAAAGCAGATGCGTTGTTACCCCTGAGGACTAAGATGGAATGCGTCATTTCCAGTAACAAGGGTCTCCGGTTCTATAAGCTCACCATATGAAGCACAGCAGCATTACGCTGCTATTTTAAGCTGGTATTCTGTGAGAGCGTGGCCCTACCCCAGTTGAGCCGACCCATTCGTGCTACAACCATAATATAGCTGTAGCGTGGCTCTACCACTTATAAAAGATATATACGGAACTTTATTAATATTATATGCAGTCAATATTTTATCTAGACTTTTTGGTTTTTGTTATTCACAATAACTTGTATTATTGTCGCTATAAACATCAGTCACCAAAAAGAGTGTAATTTTAATGTTATATATATTTACAAAGTACGACACGTTAATATTCCTTACTATCGACTCGCCCTGAATTCCTGTCATTTAAAAAAAATTCTCCAAGTTTTTTGGATAAGATATAGCCTGGATCATTTCTGGCCTTGCCTACGTGCTCGCGCAGTTTGATCACAATCGCTTAGGCCATCCCGAAGATTAGCCCCGACAGACATAAAAAGAGATAGACAGACAAAAGTAATAAAAATGTTTATCCGTGTCATCCTTGTAGGGGCAAATAAACCCCTGCGCTCAATAAAAAGCTGTATTTTATTTTACCTTTAAAGATTATATCACAATGTATTATATACATTCGAACGTTAGTTGCTCAGTGTAGTCAGCTAGCTACTCGTAGTTACCTTGGGAAAAAAGAACCTATCAGAAAATATCCTTTAGTCATCTAGTGTATTCTATAGTGTATTTTTTTCTTGTTGCTCTGTTTTCATTGTTTCTTACCTAAGGTTGACTGGCAGAGAATGTTTTAAGAATTAAGTCTACTTTTAGGTCCTTCATGCCCATGAGTCCATGTGGGTATGTACCACGCCATTACCTATATCAAGCAACAAACAGCAGAGAGTACTCTGCTGTATTTAGGTTTCAAAGGTATTCAACAGTTTTTTTACGTGGTAGAGACATGCTGCAGTTATATTAACAGTATAGTTGTAGCACGAATGGGTCGGCTCGACCGGGGAAGGACCACGCTCTCACAGAATACCAGCGTCAAATAGTAGCTTAATGCTGCTGTGTTTCGTATAGTGAGTGTAGAGAACCGGATACCCTTTTTACTGGAAACGAGGCATTCCATCATAGTCCTCACGGGTGACAACGCATCTGCATTTTGATTCGTAAATGAGGATAGATGTAGATGTCTATGGGCCACAGCAACCACTTACCATCAGGTGGACTGTGTGCTCTTTTGTTACCCTATCCTATTAATATAAAGTTTTGAAATTGGTTACATGTGTATAATTTAGCACTTAATACCAAATAATTCAATGAATTCGGATTGCCTAATGTAACTCTCGAATGTGATTACCTTACAGTGGTAAATTAGACTTTATGGAAAAAACGCTTATTTTTCGGATTCACTCTGGATTATAGATTACAATGAGGTTCATATATAGACACTTTATACACTATAATGGAATTCCATTATATATTCCTGTGCAATGTGTTTAGCCTTTCCGAAAAAAAATTCAAAAATCGGAAACGATAAGTATTTGTTAAAATTTCCATCAACAGTGAAATTTATTAAACACACAATGTGTATCAGAATGCAAACGTACCAAATGACATGTTACCCAAATGGAAATCCTCAGATAAAATAAAACCATTCATTCTAAGCAATTACTGCATTTTTACAAGTTTGCCAAGCGATTAATAATAACAACATGACATGCAGTTTTTGCAATTAATGATAGCGGCTGATATCAAAGAGTATTTAACTACGTTTCAGCTGGTATAAAAGTGGTATTGCAAGATATAAATAGCCGTATGCACACACTAAAGGCTAGACGATCGTCTACATATTATTTAAAATTTAGACTTTGAATAAAAAATAGAAGCCGACTTCAAAAAACTAAAAAGAATAAAGTAATTTCCGCATAATAACTTTAGAAGACGGTGCTTCGACATAGTGTACAAAACGAATACTTCTATTTTATATAAAATGTCAAAATTTTTGATCCTTTGGAGTACACTAAGGAATATTAAAAGTTCGTCTGTCGCCTTAATAGTTATATTAAAAATTTAATCCCCTATTTTCCCACTCTTGAGGTGGCCCTAGTCGATGGCACGAACTAAGTGGTGGGCGGGGTTAAAATATACGCTATCTCAGCCGACATCACGTGCGAAAGCGAAAGGCATGATGATTTACAACAAAAACGAGCGCGCGAAATTTTATAAACAAACCTTTGGGAATCAGGATATCATGAAAAATCTATTGAATGTATCTGTCAAAGTAAAACTATTTGCACTTTTGAACACTTAATCTATCCCTGTACGGTAACTGTTTTGCAATTTTCGTTCTTTTTATGGTATTTATCTCTACCCAAACATGTGTTGAAATTAGTTATTTTAACCCTGCAGTGGTCGCATGGATTACAATGGTAATCCACTGTAATAAAAAATTAAAGAAAAGTCTTTTGCGTGATTATTTCGCGTACAGTGCAGCGCGAGCGCCGGACACGTGTGGATGTGTCACAAGAGATCCGTAAAGTTATTACTATTGTAATCCACGTGACCTATTACGTGAGTATTTTGTGCAATTATATTTTGATGTTTTTATTTATTTTAACTATTGTTTTGCAATAATTAACTTTAGTACATAACGGTTATATGTTTATTTATGTACAGCTTTTATATTGATAACGTTATTTTGTAATTCATCCCAACAGAACAATCATGGATGAAAGGCGTATCGCTCAAATCGAATCTTGGCTTGACGAAGATTATAGCAGTGATGATTTGGAAGATGACGCAAGCTCAAACGATGAAGAAGATTTTCTGGAAGTGCAGGACCACCAATCTGAATCTGAGCAAGAAGAAGAAACTCCAAATGAGGTACCTACCGTAACCGGTTCTGAACTAGGACAAGATGATTCCTCACAAGTTGGCTGCGAGAAGTAGTTTGGTACATTGGTGTGGATAAACTCGCTGGAATAAGGCTGCACCATCGAATAGAGGAAGAACTCGCAGTCACAATATTGTTTTTGTACCTCCAGGACAAAAAAGGAATCGCCCGGGAGAAAGGTGCTGCTGAGGATTGTATATCTATATTGTAATTGATCTGATAGTAAAATATACTAACAGAAAGATCGAGCACATTAAACAAAAATATGGCAGAGAACGTGATGATAAATTGACGGATTCTACTGAAGGCATTTCTTGGTATTATTTATTTAGCAGGAGTGTTGAAATTGGGCCGAAGCAGCTGTGAACAAATATTTGAACACAGGAATCACACTGAAATCTATGCCATTTATTTAACGATGTCTGTCCAGCGTTTTAAATTTCTTCTAAGAAATCTACGATTTAGTGATATTAATGATCGCAAAGATCGTGTTATTATTGATAAATTAGCTGCAATACGTGAAATTTTTGAGATGTTAATCATCAAATTTCAACAACATTTCATTCCAAGTGCAGAAATGACATTGGACGAGCAGCTTGTGGCCTTTAAAGGACGTTGCCCTTTTAGGCAGTACATACCTAGCAAATCCTCAAAATATGGGATAAAGATATTTGCCCTTATACATACAATTTAGAGATTTACGACGTTCACTACCCATATACATACAATTTAGAGATTTACGCCGGCAAGCAGCCCGTGGGACCTTTCATGTGAACAATGAACGGGCCGACGTAGTGATGCGAGTAGTTCACCTATCCTTGGGAAAAACTGCAATGTTACCATGCAAATTTTAAGTGGTGATTTACCATGTGCTTGGCAGTGAAGGAAAACATCTTGTGGAAATCTGCATTCCTGAGAAATAAGAAAAAAATATATTATTAGCATTGGGCAGCGCGGCGGACTATTTCTTGCCCTAAACAACACCTCAAAAATGAGGGGAGGCCTGTGCCTTGCAGTGGAACGTATATAGACTGTAGCTATAACTATATTACGCAATATATAACATCGATACGCTCTTCATTATTTTTAATACAGTACATTACAACTCTGATATGGACCGTAACATTAATAAGCGACCACCATTAAAACTAAAGCGTTATAACATCTCCACAGCCTATCGCAAGTTCACCGCTGAAAATAGATTGCCTCATAGAGCATGTCATAGTTACCATGCCATCTTCTTATATAATCAACTTCTTACCTATTCTTTCCGCCAAATAGTAGCACTAGCACTTCTGTGTTCCGGTCTGAAGTGCATTTAGTTTCGGAGACAATATGATTACAGGTTTTGAGACATTCAGTTCAAATCATTTATTAAATTTGAGGTTACATAGACTAAGGTTAGTAGAAAAACGTTAATATATAGACAAATAAATGTTATCTATGCATTTTGCCTGTGTTTAGAGAGGTACAATATGCTGCAAATAAATGATTTTTTTAAATTCAATTTAACAGTGGAAAAGCCATGCTGAAGATATATTAGTAGTATAGTTGTAGCACGAGTGGGTCGGCTCGTCCGGGGAAGGAACACGCTCTCACAGAATACCAGCGTAATATAGTAGCTTAATGCTGCTGTGTTTCGTATGGTGAGTATAGATGAGATGCGGAGACCCTTTTTTACTGAAAACGAGGCATTCCATCTTATTCCTCAGGGTTGAGAAGACATCTGCTTTTTATTATTAATCGAGTATAGATTGTAGATGTCTATGGGCCACAGCATCCACTCATCATTAGGTGGACTGTACTACCACCTGCTTGGGACCCTATAATCAATAAAATAAAAACTAAAATCAAGCATACCACTGCAAGATCTCAGGACATAATCAGTTCATTTCGCATAGATCGGACCATAAACAATAATTAAAAAAAGCTGAAGGTACTCCGGGTTTAACAATGACATCGGGACGTCAGTCACCTCAGTCCCCCGTGACCATGGGTGCTGGAAAGCACCCCTCCAAATATTGGGAATTAAAAATTAAAATAATTAAAATTAAAATTAAACGTGATAAAATCTGTAAAAGTAGTTTTAATCACACACTAATGTAAGTTAAATTGTCACTTCAATTTTATAAAAAAAAAAACATATGTGTACTATAAGAATCAAGTTATTGCAATAAAATATTGAAGCTGAAGAAACTGCTGCCCCAGATTTTATGTTAAAGAAAGAGAGGACACATTGTTTATAGAAACGAGAATGATTAGAAACAAAGACTTCAGAGTGGTTGTTTCGTACGACAAGGCCTGGTTACAAAGAACAAAGCAAAGAACTTAGAGCGATACAATACATTTATTTCAGACATCAAGAAATTCAAAATTAACAACATTGGCCCAATTTATTAGAAATTAAATATACTGAATTGCCGCATGCGAAATCAAACAGACTATCATAATTTTTTATTGAATCCGAATTGATTCTTTGAACACTTTTTTAAAATATGCAAAAAGATATGACTTTAGCCCAAACAGACACCTAAATGTAGAAAAATCAGGCATTACAGTCTGCCCATAGCTTCTCTGCTATAAGGTGGAAACACCGTGGTAAGAATAAGTAAACAGTAACTTCATATCCTAGCCCAATTTTAATTATACTTACAATTTTTATTTCGATTATCTCTGCTACAGTTTTACGTAAGGCGCTAAAAATATTTTATAGTTATACACTCTAATATAATTTATAAGCTAATGTAATATATACAAATAGATTATAAATTTAAAATTACAGCCTATAATACGCGTCCCACTGCTGGGCATAGGCCTCCTCTCATTTCTGAGAGGGTCTTAGTGCAAGGAAATGTTCGCCGCGCTACCCCAATGCGTGTTTTCGAACTTCACATGTCTTTGAATTTTTTTTCTTATTTCTCAGATATGCAAGTTTCTTCAGAATATTTTCTTTCATTGCGGAGCACGTGGTAGATCAAATTGCAAGTAACAATTTCAGTGGTGTCGGCGGGGATCGAACCCGGGTTGCTCGCGTACTATGAACTCTACAGCGAGCGTTTAGCGGCTCTTGAGTAGAGTATACGAGTACCTACTAAAACAAAATTTCTTCTTCTGTGTAACGGGGAAAATGAGGAAATACAATTCTTAGCAAATCCCTCTGTAAGTATAAATAAGTGAATAGTAAAGTGATAAACGGTATTACTTCAGATCACAGTGAGCAAATTGTGCAATTCGCATTTTCTAAAATACCTGAAAACTCTACCCATAATTTGAAGGTCTGTAACAATGGAAAAAATTGAAACATTTAAAGATTACTTAGAAATTTAACAGCGCTAATTTCTGAACCAATGGATCGATTACGATGCTTACAGATATTTCTTTGAAATTTTCAACTACGAATTCGGAAAATAAAATAAAATAGTAATCCACATTCGTCGCCAATAATTTAAGGTTTGAATACTGGGCTACTTTAGATATTCGTTGAAATATGGAAAATTTTTACAGATTGCGGCAATTTTTGGCCTTTATCCATATTACCGGCGCGGCGCTAAGTAAAGTATTTGAGATGTTGATTCTACTCCAGGTATTCATCAGTTTGGTTTTACTAAAGGACGCTTATAAATTAAAATTTTACACCATAAATTAATAAGCTGTTCGTTTGTTAGTAGTAGCAGAATTCAAAAGGTTCAGATTAATGGCGTTAATTCTGTAGATCTATCCCTGATTCCTTAGATTCCTGGGTCAATTTTTTTTTGTATAAATAAATGATCTCTACCATTCTTCGTTCAAAATCTTTTTCGACAATTCTCTTACATATATGGTCAACCAGAAAACAGAGACATTTAGTGAAGTAAATGATGCCCTAAACAAGTTTAACCTACTAACGGTTTCATGTAATTTACTTGGCACTATATGTTAAAAATACTAAATTAGTTTAATTTGCCTTGCCGTATAGTGGCGGTTGAGAATATCCACTACCCAATATCTTCCCGTAGGTGTCGTAAAAGGCGACAGAGGGAGACAGGCAGGAGATGGGCAGCAGCATCTTCCTAATAACAACAATGATATAATAAAAAACTGCGGTTGCCAACCCGCTCGCCAAGCGTGGCAACTATGCCAAATATCCCCCCATGAGCAACTACGCAAACAAACGGCCCCCAGTCCCCGGCGGCCTCGCTATTCCTGGCTACGGTGGCGACCATGGTAACGGCGGGGCAGGGGGTGCTAAGAATCTCCGGTGGAGGTTCGGTTGCCACCTACGACGTCTCGACCTGGCAACGTATAACGCACGCACACTGAGGACTGACGAGAAGATACTGGAGCTGGAAGAAGAGAGGGGGAGGACACGGTAATCCTCGAGTCCGGCAACTTGTTCTATCACCGGGAGGACGACCATCTGTCCCAAGGATGTCGGATTTATCGTCCACAAGTCTCTCGTCAACAACGTTGTAAAGATTGGGAGTGTGTCGACGAGGGTCGCGTACCTGATACTCAAAATCACCAAACGGTATTCGCTGAAGGTCATACAGGTCTACGCACCAACCTCGGCACATCCCAAAACCCGCTATCCCAAAACACAAAATTTGGAGTAGGGCAACGGAACCGTAGGGGCCAGCAGCTGGCTGACTTTATGGAGAAAGAGGGACTCTTTATGATAAACTCTTTCTTTCAGAAGCGGCCCCACAGGAAATGGACCTGGTCGAGCCCCGACGGTTCGACAAAAATGAGATTGACTTCATTATAACGACCAGACACCAACTGTTCAGTGATGTCTCAGTGATCGCAAGTGTGAAAACCGGCAGCGATCACCGAATGGTTAGAGGCACACTGAACCTAAACGTTAAGTTGGAGAGGTCTCGTCTCTGAAGTCAACGCTCCGTCCCCCTCGTGCTCTAATCCAGAATCCCGAAACCTATCATCTCGAGTTACGTAACCGCTTTCAGTGCCTAGAAGATTGCAATGCAGTGGACGATATGAAAGACAAGCTCGTGGAAACTGTCCATGCGGTCGGAGCTAAGTTCTGCAAGACCCGCCGCAGAAGAACACAAAAACTCTC